GCGGCGTCCACCGGCCGGCTGCAGGGCGGCGCACCATGCGACGCGATGCGGTCCGCCAGCTCCGAACTGTTGCTGGACACCAAGCAGCAGCAGCTCCGCAAGAAGAAGCTGCTGGAATTAGCGGCGGCCAAGAAGCAAAGTCGCGGCGCGCCCCGGACCCTCCGCGAGAAGGTGTGGTTCTACTCGACGCTGTCGTTCGCCATGATCGCCGTCGGATCAGGCTCGGCACTGCTGTTCCTGGTGCCGCTGTACGTGGACCCGGCCGTGTCAACGCTGCTGGCCGACTTCGTGCCGGAACCGGTGCAGTGCACCACGGTGCGCCGCGAACAGCTGGCCGGCCTGTACAACTGCACGTGGAGCTCGTGCCGGGAGGGTTGCACCAGCGACGTGTACAACTGCAGTCACATTTACGTGGCGTACAGGACGTCCGCCGGTGGAGTCAGTGGCGTCGGTGGCGGTGGCAGCGGCGGCGTACAAGTGGCGTCCGGTCGCGGCGGCGACGTGATCGTTACCGAGGCCGTGCTGCTGGTCAACATCAAGGGCTGCGGTTACCCGCCGGCCGTGGCCTGTTCCAATTTCACAAAGGCCTACGGCGTGCCGGGCGCCACATTCCCGTGCCACTATTCCCGGCAGAACTACACGCTGGCCGTGGTCGGCTACGACAAGCGGCAGCAGTACGCCGACATCGTCCACTACTTTGCCGTCCCGTTCGCCGTGTGCGTGGTCACGTCCATCGTGCTGTGCGTCATGCACTGCGACTGTCAGCAGTCAGCGGCCGGACAGCAAGCACTTCCGGAACCGTACAGGAGTTCCGCCGGACACTCGCAYACAGAGGGCTACAGGTATTATTCTATATTATTCTCGCTTATAAAATTATCTCTACAATCATTTGAAAAGTCTCCCTCGACATAGCCATGTGTTCCTCGCACCTATACCCTCTAATATTATTATATTATGAAGTGACGATTTACCGCTGTTGATGATCGCCGATGTATTTAGAGTTGGGAATTAAGTTGTAAGTGTACAAGTCAGTGTAACGAAATTAATTTTTTAAGTTATACGACAGTAATTATTATTCGTTGCATTTTATAGTAAGTAATTTAAGTTAAATGTTCGCAGTAGGATTACTGAATTACTCGTTTATTTTTCAAATATATTTTAAAATCCAACTATTCTAATAATACTCGTATATGTGAATATTTTATCGGACACGATTTTCTGACAGTGTATACATTTTCGTAATATTAATTTGACAAAAAAAGTATTATTTTTGGGATGGAACATCCCATAAACGATTTTTTTTTATTGCGAAGTAATAATATTATTAATGTATGTTAATATTGATTGATTTTGTCATTAAATGATTAATAATGTATCAACATTATAATTATTATAAGCGCCAGTAAAAGTTTTGAACATGAATATTTAAAATAACCTTAATTATTATGAAGTTACTTTTATAACTAAAAAGTAACGTGACAGTGCYAAATAAAATAAAATTATTGCTTAAAAATAATTTAATATCAATTTTAAAGGTATTTGATCCATACGAATATCAAAAACGTAMTTCCATAACACTGGCGATAATACGCTATATATAAATATGGATTTAAATTTGAAATCGATATATAATTTTTATTACATAATATACCTAATATTTATGTTGTTGTAGGCAAATTGTTTTAGACAATCGAAGGGATCTGCACAAAAACGTTACAACTTGTCGAAAATGGGTTTTTGGCCGTTTTCAATCAAAACGTATTTTATGAGTATATATGTGCAAGATCCAATATAGTAAACATAATTTAACTGGAAGCTCTCTGGTTTTTTCTTCGTTGAAAAATAGGATTGCTTCTGGGATATTTYTGTTTCTCAAAAAGTGTTGAAAAATAGGGTTGTCTCGTTTTTGCACGGACCCCTTGAATTTCGATGACCTATTATTGGCCAGTAATTCGTTTTAGTCCAACCGTTCGAACAGTCGAGGTCTGACGAAATATTCTCGGCATATTAAAACCTATTTTGATATTCTTAATCGTATCGATTTCGGTTTATCGAATTGACGAACCGTGAAATATTCGAATTAGTCAAAACTAAAAATATTTRAATACTTCAATAATAATAATAGTAATGGTAATTGACGGCAGATACGCAAAACGCTACACCAAAACTAAAACATTCCATTCCGCAAACGTATAGGTACCTATTATATTATATACAGGGCACTCTATTCGAGATTCGAGATTAGTGTGTGACATGCCAACTCCAAAAAGTTGAACATYCGTTGGYGGTGCGGACAAAAGCGAGTTTAATAAACTCAAATGTAGTTTTGAGTTTGACGAGGACGTTGAAGAGACTGCATCAGTAGACCGTGAATAGAGATAGAGATAGTGTCTAGTCCATAGAGAAAGGACCCTAAAATTAACGATCTGTGACGGTACCTCGGTAAAATGCGAGTCAGTGGGTTCGCCTCACAGGACGATCGAGTCTTTAAGACGRTAACCTAGAAAACCTCAGTCCGACAGTCGAGATTTATAGGCTGGGAGTATTATTATGGCACTAGAAAAAACAGTAAAATTATAAGCGGTAATAACAATATATTATTATGCTCCAAAAATRTAATCATAATTCATATTTTGCGCTAAAAAAGTAAAATCGTAGAAATAACTGATATGAAAACTATAATTTTTCAAAAAGAAATGTGCATTTTTTTTTTTTTGTATTTATTTTTCTGTTATTTTCTAAACATTTCATAATGATAAATAATAAACATCAGTATTTACCATGCGTCTTATACCTACATAATATTGCATATTATAGTCTATTATGAAAAAAAAATTCTGTCTGATGGATATTAATTAATCAATAGAATAAATAATAAATGTGTACAAATAACTTTTGATATCTACTGTCAAACTTTTAGAATTTTTATCTAATTTAATTCCTGATAAAAATATCATCACAATTTTGATTAGGTATAAGATTAACATGAAAATCGCTTAATTTTTTAAAATGTATGTACACATAGTACGAGTAAACGTAAAAATTAATAATTATTGTTAATGCTATATTATGTTACACGGAAGTGAACTATAATGTATAAATGGAATAGTTTCGAATCTAAAACGTATTCGTATATTATAGTACTAGGCAGCTATTATTATACCCGTCTACGTGGTTTTTTACAACATCCAACAAGGATTTGAAAAGTCCTGATCCTGAATCCWGCAGCGAGACCGCTGTATGTGATACTTGTGATCACTGCAGTTTTTGAAATGTTTATTTTTAATTWATATTTCAGTGTAAACTCACAAAAATTTAAAATATCAGAATTTGAATAAAATAKAATTCTTTAAAAATACAAACAAAATAATTGCATCAATCTTAGGACTCGCATGGTGAATCGTATATTGTATACCACGAAAACAAACATGCGCATTAATTGAAATGAAAAAAATCGTAAGTTTATTTACGACGATTGCGCATTGATGAAAAAAGTCTTTTGAAAATAATTCGTTGAATTTTTGACAAAAAAGGTTAGGACATATAGGTAACCACTCATGGTTATGCAAACACCGTATATTAATAAACGACTGAGGTGCCTATATAGTTTTGACGGTAAAAGTCATAAATTTACATAGGGAAATGTTGACGATCGTGTRCGATTTATCGTGTCTAACGTGRAAAGAATACGCAGTCGTCGTAAGATTTTTGGCTCTTTGCATRATATACTCGCGCTTAGTTACACCTAATTTTATCGACGATACACTCCGACTCTCGAGGTCCTTATCATTTGTCGGACATCTCTTCTTGTAATTTATAAACGTTTAGTATATTGTCTACAAAAAATATATATTCAAACACGCCAATATCGTTTGATATGTTCAAGTGTGATATGCGCATTTCGTTCAT